ATCGTATTATGCGTAGATCACGAAGGCACTGATATGGCATGGTATATGTTTTTTGAGCTATATTAATGGCTATTTTCGTCTATGCAAAAGGTCAATTTAGTTTAAGATAGTCTCAAGGTTGTCTTCATGCTGCTTCTTTCATGGCTAATTCTTCCTATGTTTGAAGGGCAGATTCTGTCGCAGTGCTCGTGCATGTCAGAGAAGTTGATCGAAGCTCTGTAGTTCCGCTGCTTTCCTTTCGTCTTTGGCGCTTCTCAGCCTGGTAGTTTCTGAGGCTGCTCTTTAGCGTTTTGGTTTTTCCCGTTATCTTTTTTCTACATATTTCCCTGTTCTCAGCTATTTCTTCCCAGCTGCTGACATCTACTCCAAGCTTATATAGGCTGTTTTTGCAGGAGTCTTAGTACTCAGTTTTGACCTTCCTCTTGGTCTCTTTCCCAGGGCGAGTACTCCATAGAGAAGTTACTTTGGAATCTGTTTGTCGTCCATTCTCTTGAAATGCCCCAGCTATCTCGATTTTCTTCAACACAGGATGGTTGTCATGCTCTGGAGGTTTGCTGGGCCACACTTCAACATTGGTGACCTTTGCACGCCACGAAATACCTAAGATCTAGCGGCAGCATCTGAGATGGAAAATGTCGAGGTGCTTTTCTTACCTCCTGTACAAGGTCCATGTTTCAGATCCATAAAGGAGTGTGCTGAGGACACATGCTTCATAAATCTTGATCTTTTTTTGATGGTTAATCTTTCATTTTCCCATGCTCGTTTTGTCAGGCTTCCAAAAGTTGTTGCTGCTTTCCCTATCCTGATGTTGATCTCATTATCAAGTGATCATGTAGTAGAGCTAGTGGTAGACCCCAGGTAATAGAAATTGTCCACTGTCTCAAATTCCTTGTCGTTTTACTGAGCAACAGACATGGTAATGGCAGTTTATGGGGCCAGCGAACACCTTGTATTAATAACAAGAGTGGATAATGCTTGTTAAGCTGGCTTCTTTTATTTACCGTTTGTTGGTGCTTTACGCAGAAGAACGTTAAACATGCTGGGAAGCACTGCACAACTGTGAACCTACTCTATGAGAGAACCTTGCTGGCCTATTTGTGTTGCAAATGTCTTAAAACTCTTACCAATTTTTTTTAGAAAACTAAAATAATCCACTGTTTCTTTTAGCTATCATAGATCTACATAGCTGCGACCTCACTGTGACTTTCACAAAGACCTGGACGTCACCACACTCTTGCTCAAACTTCAAATAAAACATAATGTTATGTGTATTGTACTATGTTCATCTCAGATATGATTTAGAAAACAATATGCGAATGAAGTTCCGGATTAATCCTGCTATTTCAGACAGCGATCCAGTGATCCAGATCAAGTAAACCAGATCCCTACCCAGCCGCA